TTCTGCTTTTCTGATTCAGCACTTTATGTTCCTTTCACCGTTCCCCTTGTGCTGCTGCTATTGATGGGCATCTTTGTGGTTGTAGTTTACAAGTGGAAACATTACAAAGTAAAAGGTATATTTTACATTCATACACATGCAGAAAGTCATCCACTCAAATGTGCATGCGAAAAGAGCATAACCGTGTTTTCTGCTGTGTGTTTTCAGAAGATGAAGCCCCTGTGGACAGAAATGCACCCAAGGCAGAAGGTTTAGAGGAAGTGATTGGTGCAATGGAAAATGATGTAAGAAAACTAAAGTACAAATTGTGTCATATCTATAACATGTCTCACCATAAACTTACAGGATAAAACGAATTGATTCTTAGTTGTGTTTAATACAATACAGTGCAAAAGTCTCGAGTCATTTTGTTTAAAAAGGCCCAGACTTGTAATTTTTTAAAATTGCCCTTAAGCCACAGTTCTCCGGGAATTCTGAAGGTCTTTCAGAGTTATTCATTGGGTGTGTTTTTTTTTTCCATTCAGTTTCAGTCCGGTCCTTGTGTCTGACGTATTCTAACTCAAGATGTTTGGTTCTGAAGCAAAGTATTGAACAGAGGCATTGATAACTGTCAGTCCATTTTGTTTATGGGTTTTCTCTCTAACCTCATTATTCTTGAGAGCATTATATCTCAGAGATCCCTGGAGGAAATTACCTACAGAATCTTAGCTAAATGCTCCCAAAACCGTTCAACAACCACCAAACACAGTCAAGACAGCAAAAGATGTAAACACAAAGCACGGATTGTTCAACATACACAGATATGCTGTTAAGTGCTGAAAGCAGACATCTCAAAGATTCCGAAACTGTAACTGCCCAACCAAAATTCACTGAAGCAGCAGCAAAAGACCAAAACTACACTTCACATTTGGAAAAACATTGTAATGAATTCCCTGTAACTTTTGGTATGTTTCTTCAACCACGATAGAATCGCACTTGCTGCAGAGCTCTCTGTGTAGTTCGAGAACAGTTTCCCATCAAAAGTCTCTATTTTGTGCCTTTTCCCTTGCTTATTACACACCAATCTACTGTTATGTACAATGTTGTCGGTTGCGGATTTTTAATTATTTTAATTAAATGACCTCTGACAAAGCCTTATTTCTGCTATTCAATGCTGAAGAAATTAAAACTTTCACAGATTAGGCCAAATTCTGCCAAACTACAAAACCTTCAGCTATGTCCCTAATAAAACCTCTGTAACTCTGATATTGCTGAGGTGAAGCAGAGCAATCTTTGCCCAGGTAATGTCCATATATTGATTTGTGGGTTCCTTCAGTTTTTAATCTACTGCAGCATATTTTTAGCGGGTTATATGCTATAGAAGACCAGGCCAGGAAAAACTTCTGTATAGTTTTTACCTTTCTTTTGATACCAAGATTGTTTACAGAGTTTGTATTTGCAGAGAAATGGTCAATTCACCATTGGAATGTGATTTTTAAACAGGAACCTCAGAAACATCCCTGGGGCTTAACAGACTAACTCAAGAATAAAAAACTCTAATTATGTGAATAGTCAACCAAAATAATGGAAAAACCTTTAAAATTAAAGACAAATTAAAATCAGTGAGCACTGACATATCATATGCCATAAAACTTTTCTAACCATTTCTCAATACCGTAAATCAAGAACAAGTGAAACCACTTTTAGTCAGTCATTTAAACTTATTTAAATCAGTGACTGCAACACTGGGTAGTGACTGAAAGAATGACATCACAAGTAAATGTGGTGGAAAATGAAGTCTTGCAGCCTTCTCCTTTAGAGGTATGTGCGGAGTTCAGTAATTCGAGTTGGGCTCGGAGCAATCCTGCTACACCTCAACAATGAAAAATGTCTGGCACCATGCAACTTATTTGCACTAATTTCAATTCAGTTTATTATAAAACAAAATCACAAAAGTAGTCACACCTCAAGGCACTTGAGTAAATGTAAGTTGAGATTTATAAGCTTGCCTGTGTGTGTGTAATCATGAGCGTATAGCCATTGTTATACTCATTGGTGGAAACTTGCATTAAAAAGGCAACTTTAGTTTGAATGCAGGAAAATACTTTTTAAAATCTTTGCTTCATAATAGATTCCAAAATACATAACTAACATTGCGTGTGTTAATTGGTGTCTGAATAGATTTATGGAAACCAAGAAGTTGTGATGTACTCGAAGAAGCAGACCTCCAAACAACAGAGTGCCTGTGCCCAATATGAAGATGAAGAACAAGACTATGAAAACTTCACAATATCTGAAGACATCTACTGTAATGAAAATTTCCACAAAGCCAATAGAAAATAAACAGTCTAAGGAGTTTGGAAAGAAACATGTCTGGACTTTAGAGAATTCCACCAATTGCTCTTAGAACTGAAGACGCTTCTCGGATGAGAGATAAAACATGTTCAAGAAACTTCCAGATGCTTTTCTTTCCAGCTCCTTAGACTGCGAAGACCTGGATGAACCTTCACAGACATAAAATAAACAGAGTGTTAATTTGAGGTCAAACCGTTGGTCTTACCTGTATAGAGATTAATCTACTTGATTGATCATTAACAGTTACACAACAAATCTTAACATACAGTGATCCAGCCGTCTTATTTTCTCAGTGAAACTTTGTTGTGTTTTCTGTTTTATTATCACTTCTTACTCTTTTGCTATTAGCTTTAACTTTTATTGCTTAGTGTTAACAGCAATCTGCAGTCTTTTCATGAAATTGAACTCAAATGCAAACAACTAACACAAGTGCAAAGTAAATAAATAAGCAAAGCAAAATGAATTCCAATGTTGGACCATTTAGTAAAAAGTTTTATAGAACAGTCATTTTTAAATCTTTTGTTTATTTTTGCCCTATTTTAATGTAAATTGCCACATTGTAAGAGTCCTTCAGTTCCAGATATTTGGGCAGAAATCGAGCAGTGAAATGTTAAAAAGTTATGTTTACTAATTGCAATTTTCATGTAATTTTTCTTTCTGTTTGTTGCAACTGAAAATTACCAGGTGCAGTGCTTTTATTTTATTAACATGGTAATGCTGTATTTAGCTTAAATTTATAATAACATTATTATATTTTTATTATTATTGTACATTTATTATTACTTCATATCATTAGTTGACATAAATTAGCCTTTTGCCTTAGTAAACAAGAGCATAGCACTATATTCCCGAGATATGTAAAGTAAAAATAAAATACACTGAAAGAAAAGGAACAGAAAAATCCACAAAACTCTTGACCTGATCAGTTACTCAAACTAATCCAACCTTTTCAGATTTGTAGAGAATTTGTTGCTGCTTGACTAACATCATGAACTTTATTTTTTTCCACCTCCTCTGAAGAAAATTAAACATTTTTTTCAAAAGTTACACTTTCAGTGTCACTTGTTAATGTGTCACTGTGAGCACTGTGCTGGTGCTGTTTTATCACTTCAAATACCCTCTTCTCTTGGATATTAGCATATATCACTGGTGAGACTGCTTAAATCTATTTGTGAGTGAAGAAGTAATCTCTGAATTTGTGGAAATGTTGACACAAGTTGTTGTAGCATTCAGTCCTTCACTCTGACAAGTTATCAGCCAACATTAACGAGTTTGCTCAGCATACTACATCCCAAAACTGCAAGGTTGCAGCTCACAGTCACACCTACCTGCTAATCACAGAGTAAAAAATGTTTAATTTTACTCAACAGACCTTGAGTACAGACGTCTTGTACTAGTTGTGCTACATAGCAAAATGTGCTGAAGAGGTCTGTTTTGAAAGAAACAGCTGATGAATTGTCAAAAAAAAAGTCTGAAAAAATATGTAGAAAAGTTACCAAAAGTTACTTTCTGTGTGGAGTTTGAATGCTGTTTCCAACCTTGTATGGGTTCTCTCTGGATTCTTCCCACAGTTCAAAGACACGCTATGGTTTACCCTGCCCTTTGGCCTATGACATCTAGGATACATTCCAGACCCTGAACTGGATAAGAAAATGGATGGATGGATTTTTTCCCCCTAGTTATTTAAAGACTATGGCACTACATGGTGAGGAGCTAATGAGCTTTAAACTATGTAAACTGGCAAACTCTGATAACACTAACAATAATGAACCTGATCCTGGCTAGACATAGTTCAGCTCATTTCAACACACAGCTTGAGCTCTTGAACCAGTCTCTAGGAGAGGGCCTGAATTCTGTTCAAATCTGGAGTTGCCCTTTGTGAGAGGCGGCAGGCAATAGCTGACAGTTCAGAATACCCAGACCTCTTGAATTTACTTTGTGTGGGGACTCTGTCATCTTACAAGAAGACATTAACTCTCACATGAACAATTAAGAAAACCTGGAGGGGCATGAAAGAGACAGACTCCCTGATCTAAACCTGAGCAGTGTGCTGTTATTGGACTTCTGTGCAATAAATAAAAGTTAGCTGAAACCATATTTTTCCTATAACTAATTTCATGCTGAAAACATAAGAGTGTCCACAAGTGCATGTGGAACGAGTAAAACCTAGTCTGCAAGTCGACCTGAATTTACAAAACTTTGGAATACAAGGTATGTTTTTTGTTTTTTCACAGAGAGTTTTACAGACAAGAAGCTTGCCTTAAAAAATAAATGCACTGAAAAGGAGACAAATGGAAGTGAGTAGAGGCAAGAGAGAACGCGTGAATGATAATGAGACAGGTGTAATGGTCACTTTTAAGACTGTTTTCTGAATATTAACAAACCAGGAAATTAATGAACTGAGAACACAGCACAATAATCTTCAAACACAAATGTTTCTCAGATATACAAAATTAATTTCATGCAATGTAGCTGTTTCACTTTTTTTAACAGTGATGTTTATGTAAAACGTTTGAATACTTCCTCTACCATAAGAGGATATGTGTCAGCTGTTTCAAAAATGACTGCTACTTACTTTTAGGGAAAGCCCAAGTAAGAATGCTCTACCTCCTCTGTGTTAAAGGTCGAATTCCACCCCTCCTTTCAAACTCCTGTGGCAAGAAGGGACTCCTATTGTGTGCATAATATTGTGTGCAACGCAAAGATGTGGAGCCTTCAAAACCTGCTTTTCATCCTCTGCAGTAAGTCCTTTAAATGAGTAAATATATAAAGATTAACAACAGATGTAGTTTGAATGGTACGTTTTACTTTTTTAGTACTGAGGAGCTGTATGACACACCCGGTATTGTTCTTGGTAATGTCTTTATACAACAATAGCATTGCTGTCACGACAGCTGACATGACAAAATTTAAATTATTTTGTTGTTTTCACATTATCTTTCTAGTTTCTCTGAGATGTGCGACCAGTGCAGTAGGGGTGCTCAATGTCACTGGATATCTGAGAAGAGAGGTTAACATTTCCTGCTCTTATGATCCGGGTTATGAATCATATGAGAAGTACCTCTGTAAGAACAGTTGTGGCAGGGGTGATGTTCTTATTACAACAACAAACCCAGTGAAGTATAAATACATGATCCATGATGACAAAATAGCACGAATCTTCACAACGACCATCTCTGATCTTCGTTCCATGGATGCCGGGAAATACTGGTGTGGAGTGAAAAAATTTTTGAAAGATGTCTACACTGAAGTCGAGCTGAAACTAGTAAAAGGTAAACAAAAACTTGGTCAAATTCTGTTGCACACTGAAAGCGAGTTACGGCGAGTTACAGGGATTCAGGAGTTACAGTTAAAGATAAGGAATTCATAGGTAGTTTCTGTTTGTTCAGCATTATCTGTTTCTCTGCTGTAAAATTTAAACCACTATATGAGCATCAAATGATGGAAAACAGTCACAAGTTTAGAAATGTAAACTTCCTCATTGAGTTGAATATAAAATCCTTAAGTTTTATATACAGCTGTTTGTGTAACATGTCTTCTGATGCTTTTACCCCTGTTGACAGACCGCTGCTGTGATACTATGACCAAAATTCTGAATTATCAGGGATATTCAGAATCCATTAGTTGTCCGTATGAGCGTCAGTACCAGAACAGCCTGAAGTACATCTGCAGAGGAAACCGGCCCTCCACATGTCTTCAGCAGGCACTGATCACCTCTTACAACAAGGAAAATGGACGATTCAGACTTGATGATGATAAAATGTTAAAAGAATTTACAGTGAACATCACCAGTTTGAGCCAAGAGGATTCAGGGTATTACCTTTGTGGTGTCCAAAGAAACTCTGACTTGGATGTTTTCTCTGCAGTTCTGTTGGAAGTTGAAGGTGAGCAGTCAAAGCTACTGTGTATTTAATTACATCAGTTGAATATTTGATAATTCTGAAATAATCTTTTTCTTTCATTTATACAGAGTTCTGCTGTGTCAAATCAACTAAAATAAATGGTACTGTGGGGCAGCCACTAACTTTGCAGTGTCCTTATTCTCCACAACACCGGGATAACAGGAAGTTCCTCTGTAAGGGAGACCAGCACAACAGCTGCATGGACATGACCAATCAAAGCAGGTTCACTGTCCATGATAATGTTTCTTCCAGCTCTTTCTTGGTGATGATTGCAGAGCTGGAAGCAGCTGACGCTGGGACATACTGGTGTGGGTCAGATTCACAGTGGAAAATTGGAAACTACACCAAGATGGAGCTATCGGGTGAGTTGGACACTTTTATATGGGATAATGTAATGAATAGATTTGTATGCTATGTTCTTACTTAAGATCAGTTCAGTTGTCGAACCACAAACTTACCGCTGCTGGTAAATCACTCTGAAATAATAATTGTTGGAACAGGTATTCACTGCCACTTGTGAATTAAATTCTTTGCATGTAAATTCAAAATCAGTGCTAAGAACTCAGCAACCACGCATGCAAGAAGTCATCTGTTTGCAGATTCACACAGTTGCAGGTAACTCTGCTTTTGAAGCTGAATCCTGGCTTCTCCAATCAGCTAGCTTTATATAGTTTGAAGAGTGGAGGCCAAAGTATGAGGGATCCTAGTGTGAATGGTCACTTTCAAAGTAGTGATGCCACAGACTCTGTGATGTACTGATTAAGGTTACTGTTCTAAACCCTATGGCAGCAACATAAGCGCTGTTTTAAACCATATTTGTTTACAATTACAGAAAATTAGTTTTGCTGAATTAACTATTAACACTTATATTGTTTGCTCTTTAGCAGTCAATTCCTATTCCATATGTTCAAAATTGTAAGTCATTTTTGCTAGTCGTTCATGTCTTTATACAATGAAAAGGCTATCATTGCACTTTTTTTGCCTTTTAATAGCCTTATTTCTTCGTCATTTATAAACTCTCATAACATCTTGAGTACAATCGACAGCTACATTAAATTCACAAGATCACACAAGATTTCAAACTGCAGGAAAATCACTGGAGTTATGAAAGACAGAAAACTACACACACACCACGTGTATGCTATCGCTATGTATTATGGTTTAACCTGTCAAGGACAATAGTGTACAGAAAATTCTGCATCAAGCCTTGTAATTCATAGCTTTCCTACTTTTGTTAAGCCTCAATTGACAGCTTGTGGCATGATGGTTAGTGCTGTTGCCTCAAGCAAGAAGGTTCTGGGTTCAAATCCACAATCTTGCTAGTGTGCAGTTGGTTCCCACTGGGTATTCTGGTTTCCTCCCACAGTTAAAAGTCATGCAGTTATTAGAGATAGATTAATTGGTGATTCTAAATAATCCATAAGCGTGAATGTGAGTGCAAATGATTGTTTGTCTCCATGTGATAGACTAGCAAACTCTCCAGAGTTTACCCTGCCTCTTACCCTATCACTTCCAGGTTATGGCCCAGCCCCCCTGCAATCCAGATAAAGGAAGATAGAAGTTGTTGTAAACCCATTAAATTTTTATGTTAACCAGACTCTAGACTTTGTTGAACATTATGTAATATGAAGACAACATGTAGTATTTAAGTGACCAAGTGAAAATTAATGAATGGGGTGAAAGTTATTGAATAGTGTTGGAATAAAGTGACAAAATTGTGAAGGATCAAAAAATTCCAAGAGCTCAACTTACTTCATCTAAACATGTGTCAGTCATGTTTTATCAACACAATATGCACAGGTTTATTGAATATGAATAAGTTGTGTTAAAAACTGTGTCAACTTTGAGGGTCATATCACTGTGTACTGTACACTTCCTGTACACTTCTCTTTGCTACAGTATCAGGAAAACAATTGTGAAGGACTTTTTGGCACCATGAAATCTAGAACAAAACCTTTGCTCTCAGCATCTAGGAGTATAGCAAGGAACCAAAGACGGTATTTCTGGTTGCGTTGCAACAGTAGTGCTGATCTAGACAGTGGTTGTGCCTTTTTCCTATATTTTAATTTTTAGTTAGATTCAGTTGACTGGAACAACAGTTTGGGATTCTTGTAGGATTCAAAATATCCCTTCAGTCGTGCCATGTTGGCATCAACATCATAGGCTGAAACATAGAACAGAGCAATCCCACAGATGTGTGAGTTGCCGTGGTCATTTTTTTAATGTCATTGTTGAAATAAAGTTGCTTTCTCCTCTCCTACAGTTTTTCTGCAGCACACTCTGGGAACTCTGGAAACAAATAACCCAGGTAAAGCTAAAGATACAGTATATGTGTCTGTTAGTTAGCTGCTAAATGCTATGACAACAGTAATAGCAAAATAAGTACATTTCCACAATATAATTAGGGTTAACATGTGGTTTTGAGTGCATGCTGGGCCTAATTCAAGCTAATGTGAAAAAAAAAATTCTAATTCAAATTAAAAATCAAATGGATGTGTGCATCAATGCAACACTTAAGTTAAAATACACATAACTTTTAATAAAAAGATAACGAAACCATTATGTAAACTAAGCCCACAGTTCTGCTGTTATGCCTGTGAAAATTGAATGCTTTGGAAAATGCTTGCTTTAAAAATGCTTTTACAGTGTTCTGTTTTATTTTTTTTTCCAGCACTCTATGTGGTTTACATTGTAACCCCTGTGCTCCTACTGATGTGTGTCCTGTTTATTCTTTATAAGTACAGACGTTCCACAGTTAAAGGTATCATTTACATTCATATACACAGAGAGATCCTTACATTCAAATATGGAAAAGCATGCAAAAAAGTGTAACCAAATCTAATGCTCTGTTTTTAGGTGATGAAGCCACAAGCAGAAATACCCAAAATAAGCTATAGAGCTCAGAGGAAGCGATGGGGGCAGCAGAAAGTGGAGTAAGAGAAGTTTAAAGCCTTAATAGAGTTTTGTTTCTTTAATACACTTAATTATAAATATAGGGCATAAAATAAATGACTGATTTTTATTTTTAGTTGCATTTAATATGTAAAATGTATTTGTAATGTAGCACAACTGGAATTTCATGAAGTCTCCCATTTGGAGTCATTGCCCATACATTTTTATTTTTGATGCTGAGAAAATAGCAAAGTGATGTATGAATGTTGATGAAGTCCACACTATAGCATGGGTTCAGTCTCATTCTGTGACAGTGGGCAAACAGCTGAAAGTCACCAAGGTCAATATAATTGCAATTGGAAACTTGAATTATGTATTCAAGAAAATAACTTATGTACAAGAGAAGTGCTTCCCTGGCCTTGTTTAAGTTCTATGTGGGTTTCTGACATTAATTGTTGATGAATGAGTATATCATAGTGCAGTCTTTTATTGTGACACATAGGGGAGGCTATCGGCCAGCAGCCTGCACTTACACTAGAGAACCATGGATACATAATTTATGTGCTGCTGTTTTGATAATTTCAGTCTTTGTGTTTTAGATTCTGTATTTAAAGAAGTATCAACTGTTTGTACTTTCTTCAGTTTTCTTTAAATATATTACAATTCTGGAGAGACATACGTGTATCTTCCCTCAGTAGTGGAGGTATACACTTGTATGCAATGACATACAATGACAAACATTCTACACTGGCTGTAGTGCTACAATAGAACATTCAAAAATGTTTCCATGAAATCCCAAGTGTCTGTAATACATGTCACTCATAGTTCTGTTTATTGTGTTGTTGTTGTTTTTAATGGAACTCAAGAAGCTGAGATGACTGGTAGCCACTATGAGGATATCGGTGGAGATGAAGTATCTATCAAAACTTTACCAGAAAAAAAAAAATCTACCGTGATACAAAATTTCAGCAGAAGACTGTTTTGTTTTTTGCTTGATTTTCATAACAAAATCTGCTGTTTTTATAAAATTGTAGAAAAACCAGAATATAAATTATCAACATGAGTGTAAAGAGAATTAATAAGCAAAGCAAAAAAAGTGCATGGAATTAATTTTAAGTTTAACAGTAGAATTATTTTTGTTTAGCTTAGTATTATATTTTACTGATGCATTCAAAGAAAAAAGAAAGAAAATAAAACACATGTCCACAAAACTGTTTAACTGGTCAGTTTTTCAAAGCACCTCCAGCCCGTTGCAGACGGACATCCTTCAGAGGAGCCAGGAAATTAAACTTCCTTCCTTAGCTTTCAATGTCACTGCTATTGTGTAGCAGTGAATACAATTATTGTGGTGGAGTATTTAAATAAGTGTATTGGAAAAGAATCCTGTTACTCATGAACTGTTATCAGATTCTCTTCATGTGTGTTAATTTTAAAAGCTAACTTTATAAAATTAATAATAATAACTCCCATTTTAGAGATAGAACATAAATTGCTATTTAGAGAGTAAGTTGTTTAAAATAGTAGGTTTGATTTTCCTGACTAACTATCATGGACTTTCCAGATGACAGAAATATATGTGTGTGTGTGTGTGTGTGTGTGTGTGTGTGTGTGTGTGTGTGTGTGTGTGTGTGTGTGTGTGTGTGTGTGTGCAGTCTCCTGGAGAAGCGGGGTAAAGGTAGCTGAGGTAGTGTGTCAGAGAGGAGGATGCTGGAAAAAAAACTCCTCAGCTTCGGGGACAGTCCATCTCACCGTCTCACCTCATGCATTAATTTTATTCACTGTGTCACTTTCTGCCTATTTGCACTGTGATAGCTTAGTTGGTGTAAAGTGAATCCTGTGACTTTATTTTTAATTGCACTGACTATATAAAAGGCACACCAATTTCCTTTTGGATTAAAAAAGTTCTAATCAAATATTTGATTTACTCTGCTTCTTAAGTGTGTGAATTCAATAGTTTTACAATACATTTGATAAGGATTATGAGAAGTACCTTGAGAGAAATACCTGTGTAAGAATCACTGTGGCAGTGATTATGATTTTATTATAACAGCAAATCTAGTGAAAAACAAATATGCAATTCATCATAACATAACAGTGTCTTCAAAACTCCCACCCCTGATCTTCATTCTACCGATGCTTAGAAATACTGGTGTGGGGTGACCAGAGCTTTGAAAACTATCTACACTGAAATAAAGCTGAAATTGGTACCAGGTAAATAAAAGCAAACTAAAATTCAATTGTACATTGAAAGTGAGTAAAATGAGAAAATACATATGTTGGTTCAGTTGGCTGGAGTAAGATCAGAAGAAAATGACATATTCATTGTTTAACACTAAGAACAGAACAGAATAGGAGCTAAAATGTACTAGAGAAGCGAAATCAGTTGTTGGTCTCTGTTGACCTTCTTGCATAAGGTTATTTGTGTTGTTGCTTATGTTACACACACTGTTCTATGTGATGTCTTCAAATGTCCACTGTGTTTATGAATTAGGAAGAAACAGAACTTGATGCATTGAACTACAATTATCATCATATTCATGTTATTCTTTGAATACACAGATACGCATGTCTTTGAATAACAAAACAGCTTGTAAATGGGGGAAATTCTTTGCACATTTGGGTAATGTGCAAAGATCATTGGGATTATTAATGGGAATCATGAGAGTTGCATCACGACAAAGAATGTCTCTCTGTAAACATGTTTACTAACTGAATAGGAAAGCGACCATGCTGCTGTTGACCTGTGACATTACTCTGAACAGAATGCAAGATTTCATGTTTATACAGTAAAGTTAATAACTTCATTAAAACTGTGAAATTATTTTTCAGTTTCGCAAGAAAACTGATGTGTGAGACAGAGTGAGAGGTGTGTGAATCTCTGACTCTGGGTGTGATGGCAGCCCTAACTTCAAACAACACACATGTTAGACAGATGGAGACCCTCAGTTTCAAGAAGTGTGAACCTAAATTTCTATGTGAGGCTGTATCTTGTATGTGCTTATATTTCCCTATTTAGTTATGGTTATTGTTAAATAGTGTATAATTTGATAGTTTCTTATTTGTAATGCCTCATGTTTAGTTTACTTCCCCTCCTGATTCACCGTCTAAAATTACTGTTATCTTCTTGTGTCCACTTTCCCTAGTGACCTTGACCTGCTTGTCCTTTGTCTTTGTTTTCCCAGTGTTATTAATGTCCTCTCTGTGTTTCCAGCCAGTTTTAGATCCTGTTTACTCTTCTGTTTATGGATTTTTTTACCACCCAAAATGAAGGCTCATTTGCATTAGATTTCCATGTGTCTGTATTTGGGTTCTAAACTCTGCAGTGTACATTAGCATTTTATGTAATCAATATCACTCTAGAAACAGAACTGACTGATTCCAGAGACATATGAGTTTGACCATTTAAAGAGTAGCAGTGGGTTTAGCATGTGATAGCTGTTGGTTTGTCGCAAACTGCCTCAGGCTGAAGGTGTTTAAGTATTCCATAGATTTAGTCACATAGGCAAGAGGCAATTTTCCACAGCCTTTAACTCTAAACCATAATGGTATCCAAATAGAAGAAATGTGGGATGAATTACAAAAAAAGGACAACTGTTACTGTATGAGAAAAATGATATAGGCAAAATGACAAATCACTCAAAAACATCCTCTGAAAAATAACAGGGTTTGTCATATAAACAACATAACATCTCAACAAACAGAACAGCAAGTCAACACAAAGCAAAGGGACCCTGGGGTGTAGAGCCTTACGCATATGTATATGTGGAAGACAAAGTGCCAGAGAGGAAAAAAGAGGAAAAAAGAGAAAAGAAGACAAAAAGAAAACAGAGGGGGAAAAAAAGCTGAAAAAAGATTGACAGAGAGCCCTCCTGAACCCTCACTTATGTTGACTGAGGTTCCTTGTACCTTTCCTCCTCCATGAAGTACAACCCATGAATCACATAACTTTCTGGGCATTCTACACAGACCTTATCATCCACCTTAGTTACAGTCATCTTTGACAGGTTTATGACCAAGGTTATGCCAGCCTTACATACGTGTGTAGGATGTAATTAATTCTACTTGACAAGTTTTTATTAAAAATGGCTTACAACGCCAAAATAAACCATAAATCTAACTAGTTAGGCATTTTTACAACTTTGAACATTTTGTGGTGTCAATTTTATTATTATAAATTATGGCTCTTTTGAGACATAATTTATAACAGTGCCAGTGCTATTAACAGTGCCATTTATTGTGTGTCTTGTGCATTTGTCTTGTCTTCCTCCTCTCACCCCAACCAGTCGCAGTAGGTGGCTGCCTGAATCTGGTTCTACAGAAGGTTTGTTCCTGTTAAAAGGAAGGTTTTCCTTCCTACTATCTGCAAGTGCTTACTCATAGTCTCAGTCTGTCTGCTCTTCCTGGACTACAGCTTGACATTCAACACCATAATGCAGGGGTGTCAAACTCAAATACACAGTGGGCCAAAATTCAAAACTGGAACAAAGTCGCGGGCTAACATTAATATTTATTGAAAAATATTTATTCCTCCAGATATAAGAATGAATCTTTTCTTATGAACTCAAACACGTTTTGCTGAAAAACTGAATATGGAACAAGCAAAGCTTAATACTAAACAATATATATATTAGCTGTATAATACCAGTAGGCCAGCTCTAATAGTAATTTGGTATGGCTTCGCGGGCCAAATGTAATTAGGCTGCGGGCCAAATTTGGCCCACGGGCCAGAGTTTGACACCTATGCCATAATGCCAAACTGGACCACCCTCAGATTCTCCCTGTGAAATTCTCCTGGATCAAAGACTTGCTCACCAACTGGCATCAATCAGTCCGATTCAGTGTGCTCTCCTACTCCCTGTGTGTTTGGCACGCAGGGGCCACAACTGAGAACAGGAAGGCACCAGGGGTGGCTGCCCTCTGCCACCCCTGGAGGCCATCACCAACTCCTCCTGTCTCAGGAAAACCAGGACCATCACAGGTGACCCCTTGCAACCTGCATACCACCTGTTTGACCCCCTGCCCTCTGGTTGGAGCTTCAGGTAAATCAGGTCCTACACCTCCAGCTTCTTTGTGCAGCACGCATATGTCAACCAGCATGCAGCCTGTTTCAGTTGCTCCTGCTTTTTTCTTCATACTTTAACTTTTATTAATTTTTGTCTCTGTCTTTTACTTAGCAATAGAGTGGTAGTTTGTTTTAATAGCTTTCTCTTTAAAAAGGGATTCCTGCTGTCTACTATTTATTTTTTATTCCGGCAGGTGTGGAACACACACACAATTTCATTGTACATGTGCAATGACAATACAGGGCTATTCTATTCTATTCTATTCTATTCTATTCTATTCTATTCTATTCTATTCTATGCTATTATGGAAAGCTTGTGAAAACTTCTTTAACCACTAGATGGCATATGTCAGCTATTTCAGAAACCCATCTAAGAATGCTCCATCTGTGTTGATGGTCCAGCTCTACCCCTCCCTTCACATTATTATGGCATTAAATAACGCCTATTGTTCCCATCATTTTTTTTAAACCTGAGAAAATTTCCTGTCAAGACTCTATTTGGACAAACTAAAGCAAAGATGAGGAGACTTCAAAACCTGCTGTTCACCTTTTGCAGTAAGTTGTTTAAACTGGTAAATAACTAAAATATAAAGATCAAAGGCTGATGTAGACCAAGTAGTACATCTATCTCTTCTAGTAATTTAGAAGAACAGTAGGCCAAATGCTTTTTCAGTCTTGGTAATTTCGTTATACAGCATTAACATTGTTAGTATGAAATCTTGCATGATGACCACAAAGAAAATACACACACAAAAACGTTTCACATTCTTTTTCCAGTTGCTCTGAGGTGTGTGACCAGTGCAGTAGGGGTGATCCATGTAACTGGAAATGTGGGGAGTGCGGTTAACGTTTCCTGCTCCTATGATCAGGGTTACGAGTCTTATGAGAAGTACCTGTGTAAGAATGACTGTGGCAGCAATGATGATGTTCTTATT